CCCCCCGCCGAAGATTTAGATGTTACCTCATCATCCTGAATGTCCAGAATCTCATTTTCGTCATCATCCACATCACCTTTTTGATTGACTTCACTGAACCATGTAAAGAAGCTGTACGGAATAACAAGGGAAAAGCAACTGAGCAAGGAAGACCATGACTATGACATTCAGTTTTTATTTACAAGACAGCTAGAATTGAGAGTACAGAAGACAGAGGAGTGAGCATGTGTCCAGTCGGTGCACCACCTTATCAAGTGATTAAGAGGATAGTCACAGAATGTTGTAGCAGAAAAACTCAGTGAGCGAAAATAGTTTCGACGCAGCTACATTAACCATTATATTTTCCATATTTATACTATTACTATTTGTGAACTCATAAACAGCTTTCTCTCGAGAGAAACATTTTGCCCAAAAAAATCATTAATATAGTTAATTAGCAATACTCTTATATAGCTTATGAATATGTAACTTTTATTTCAAAAGTTCAAGAAAAGGGTGTCCTAATTCAAAACGAAATTAGATCATTTGACTCTGAAATTTTGAACCCATCATTTCTATTTGGGACAGACAGAGCAATATATTTTGCGCTTCTGTTCCTAACAGAGGTGGCTAACTTCTAACTCCATAGTGAAGTAAGCAATTGCAGGGGGGTAAATTTTGCCCACTACAAGAACATAAGATTAGGTCGGCATATGCTATTTGAAAGATCATACCAGTTATAGGTGAGTTTTATTAAGAAAATGTGATAATTGACAAATTCGTATTCCTAAGGTAGAGACCATAACCTGGTTTAATGTGGTGAGCAAGTCTATTTTCTCAAGTAAGACGAACCAAGTAGAGACCATAACCTGGTTTAATGTGGTGAGCAAGTTTATTTTCTCAAGTAAGACGAACCAAGGTCCCAACATTATATCAGTTGCAAGCTGACAGACTTGATACAAACAACTAGTAGCTTTAAAAAATCAAAACCCTTAGAAATGCTAGATAAAAGTGAGCAGACCTTTCTTCAGCGTGGGACCGCTTGTTTCCTTTCTTCTTGTCAGCAACTCCATTAGGAATGCCCTTCATAAGTCAAAACATAAATAGTGAGAGGAAACGGATAAGATAAAGATGTGTAACGTCTCTCAAGAAGCAAAGAGAACTTACCATGCCTTCTTTCCATTTTATTGTTGTAGCTGTAATTTTTGTAGGTCCATCTTCAAGGAAGGTATACGTCTTTGAGAGCTTTGAATTTTCAAAATAAGGATTGGGCTTAAAGTTCTGTGAGAAAGAAGAGAAGGTCATCAGCATTCTACAGTCCCAGAAAACATAAGATGTCTAATTGTACTAATTAATTTCATTGTTGAGAGAGAGAGAGAGAGAGAGAGAGAGAGAGAGAGAGTGGTGAACTCACAAACGTGATTGAATGACCCGATTTCACATCCTTTGAGTCTTCCACTTCAATAGAACTTACAAATTTGAAAATCTAGCATGAAAAGGGGCAGTAACATTATGAGATTCAGATCAGAAGGTAAGAATCCATTCAAACTGTACTTTGACAGTTTATTTGGATGAGATTTTGCTAATTTAAGCGGATGGTTAATATTGGAGAAACAATAACGTAACAAATTGTAGTGGGTTGTTTAGAAGTTTAAATGAAACAAATTAGGATCAAACCTTTTGGTCCTCTTCAGTGAGAAGGTTACCAAGAACAGGATGACTCAAAAACTGCAAGCAGATGAGATAAGTTATACTGTGTGAAAAATACTTTGGAAGTCAAGCGATTGCGAGGAAAAAGGATAGGATGGGATCACTAACAGCAGTCAACCAGAAGTCAGAAATAGAGCTAATGACATCATTTCTCTTATCATAGACAGGCTTGCGGATCTCGTTGTACTTTTGTTCTACTTCCAACACTTCGTCGCTTGCTTTTTCATTGATCTGCTAGCAAAATTGATATATCATTCAACATGTAAAACCAAGAGCTACACATGTTATCTTACAGTTAAACAACAGAAGAAAAGCTTCTAGCAATTGATCCAAGTTAATTATTGAGAAACTGTCGAAGTTGATTTTGCATCTCTTCTGATAAGATTGTACCCTGAAATATTAAGCTTTTAGTGTGCATTTCGGAAAAAGCTCGGACACATAGTGACATCATGTATCCATATAGTATACAAATCCAAAACTCCCACAAGTGCGTAGATTGCATTTTGTACTCTTATTAAAAGAAGGAAAGAGACTTGAATATTCAATTGAACAAAGAATAAGCATAAGGCAAACAGCTAACAGTTCCAGAACAGAGGTCCTCCGAGAAGTAGCATGCTCTAAATTCTTAACTACATTTTGTTCTTTTACAAGAGAGTTAAGGTAGTACATGGCCAGTGGAGATCTCTGAAATTTTTTTTTCCATCTGAAAGAAACACAGAACATGCTGAAAGTTCTTTACCTGTTGGTCAATATATGTGGAGGAATTTATCTGAATAAATTCATAGAAATATGCTTCGATGAAGTTTGGCAGTTGGACTTCCATAGATCCTCAAGGAAGACAGAACTCTTTATACTCTTTTTAATTTTTATTTTTTGATTTTGAACAGGTAAAATTGGAGGCTCAGATTAACTCTTTATACTCTTTAATATTCTTCTAACACTTTCTACTCGACTGAAGCTTCACAATTTTTTGAAGCATAAGAAATTTAGAAAGTTTAATGCCAGAGTTTGAACACTTACTAAATTTAGAAATAAACTAATGATCTTTATATTCACAAAAACAACAAGGAACCATATCATGGTCTTCCAAACTTCTCATGTCACAGTCATAGATAATCTAGACAAGTTCTAAAAATTGAATAAAGATAGAATCTTTAAAATTTTGGAGTTTTAGCCACTATCTAATTCTCTGTAATAAAAATTGAATCTTTTTTTTAAGTAATTCTCTACAATTATTACCCTTTTTAATGGTTTAAAAAAAAAAGATAGAATTTACCTTCTCGAGCTCGTCTTGTATCTCTTGCAATTTTTCAATGGAAAAAATGAGCTTTTCATCAATAATATTGTTGTTTTCCTCATCCACTTTCTGCTTCTTCCCTTTGTCTGCCCCCATTTTATTTTTCCCCTAAACACACAGCACCTGAGGAAGAGAGCTGCTGCTTCTCAATGTCTCTAACTGCTAATGTCTTGATTCTGCTTAAACCCTAAACGGCTCTAAACCTGTCTGTTTGAGACAAGACATGTTAAGGTTTTAGGGTTTTAAGAGAACCAATAAGAGATTGAAACGTCTGCCTGTGTGACACGTGCACAAAAAATTACTCATTAAATTACTCTTCTGACCCATTTATGAGTCGTTTAAAATTTTAGCACCTCCACTAATCATAAAAGTATAATTTATTACTTTTACCGTTCACTTTTATTTGTCCACTATATTAAAAATGTATTTTTACTTTTACTTGTTTATTCAAATCAAGAGAAAGACAAAAAAAATTCTGGTTTACCCTTATTATTTAAATATTTATTCCCCAAATCATTTCTCAAAACTTTTTGAATAACTATCATTATAATGGGTAAAATTGTAAAATATATACTCCATTTATTTTTTTTAAAAGAGAATGCAAAGTTAAAAGTGGACAATTAAAAGTATTTAGATGGAGTAAATTAACTTTGTTTATTTCTTATTTCATCTCAATTATTACTCATCCTATTTGAATCCTTATGGCAAGGATAAGTTGAAAATAATAATTAATTTTATCTTGATTTCTAAAGCGACAGCTATTTTGAAAAAAAAAAAAATTAACTAAAACATCAATTACTTAAAATGGGATAGAGGGATCCGCCTAGACAAGAGGTTCGTGTATATAAAATGAGTTATACACTATTTATGAGAAATATGTTAAGATGGATAAAATCTATCCACCTAAACAAGAGATCCAGTAGAGAGTTATTTTCTCTTCAGTAACTCTTACAAGACACAAAGTTAGATTAGTTAAACAAATTTAGATGTGGAATGACTTAAAAAAGAATATAAATACATCACATCAAACTCAAAATTACAAATTACTATGTATGTGTTACCTATTTTTGAAAAAATTTATTTTGTGTCTCACACAACTGACACTAGTTGTGTAAAACTTCTTTTTTGTCTCACAATTATGTGGGTCCCAGAATTTTGTGGACCCAGATGTGTAAGATATAGGTCCATAAATATATGAGATAAAAAGAGGTCTCACACAACTAGTGTAAGTTGTGCGAGACACAAAATAAAATCACTCCCTATTTTTCACCTAGTTTCATCAAAATTTTCATGTTCTCAATGTGAGAAACTCATTTTTTCTTTTTGCACCACCAAGTAAAAAGCTCTTTTCACCTTCTAAATCATACATTTCTGCTAGAGATGTGTACATTTCTTTAAGTACACATAAATAAAGGGAAGGGAAATATAAACTTTTTTACATTACTGTTATGTTCAATGTTGAACGTTTCCTTTCAACTATCTTGATTTCAGTTTGGGCATTGAGATTATCATCTAACATATCATAATAATATTTGATGCTAATAAATAGTATTTATCTGTAATATTATTTTAATTATTATAATTGGTTAAAATAGACACAATCAAAATCATTTCAGGTAAGCAGATATAGAAGCATTTGGGGGAAATTGACACTGGATAACAGCATATAAGAAGAATCGGCAAATTATTGGCCATAAATTATTTTGGCAAAGACAACGCCAAGAAAAGTTGGCATTGTGTATTTACAAAAACATACTTCCTATTTATTCTCTCTCTCTGTCTCTTTCTCTCTCTCTTTTCCCTCTCACTTTCTCTCCTTATATTTCTTTTATCTCTCCTCTTTCTTTTTCATGGTTCGCAGAAAATTATTGCAAATTATGAAAAAAAAATAGTGGGATGAAAAGGTAAAGTTGATCTCACATCAGAGAAAATCAGAAGCAAAAAACTAAGAGAAAAAATATGAAAAACTAGAGTTCAACTTTATTTTTCTTCTCTCTTTTTTGTCGGTTGAACGAGTGGGTATGATGGAAATTGGTTGAAAATACCTAGGCGAGGCTATATATAAAATTTGAGCAAGATTAAAAGTGATTTAGACTGGTTTCAAGTAAAAAAAGCAGACCTAAAAGTCCAACTGTGACATGTGTATATCGTGTACATCAGTGTATATCACACAGCTTTTTATGGACGCATGTATATATCACTTTGTATATCGTGTTTATAACACAAATTTTTTATGGATACATGTGTATATCACATTGTATATCGTGTATATAACACAGATTTTCATGGATATACACAGATACACATGATATACATGAGATATCACTAATATACATGGAGATATACACGGGATACAATGGGGATGCACATGTAAAATCATCTTGAAACTTGAGTTTTCAATTTGATATGTGTTATACAAAGAAGAAAAATAAAATTTTGATATACTTTTTGATATACACATTATTATTATATTATCATTATAGTATACAAATAATATAATTATTACTGTGTTATATATATTTGTATATACAGATAAAAAAACTAGAAAAATAATTTTAAAAAAATTGGGATATTTTTCGGATACTATTGAAGGAAATGGAACCTAATTTCTATGATGATTGTTGCTATGGGAAAAGAGAGAGGGTTTTAAATATTTTTTGCTATTTTTAAGGAAAATAATTTTGATGGAGCTTATTTTTAGGATGGTGGTTGAACCATTAGAAAAGAGAGAATAACTTTAGGCTACCATATGTCAAATTCTAAAACATAGGCTTTTTTATGCTAATTATTGGACCTAGTTGTCATGTCATGCCATGCCATGCCATGCCAAATTCTCAAGCATTTAGACCAAATATCTTTCCAAATAGGCTTCTGTTCTCGTTACTTGAGGAGCAAAATTCATTTATAGCTACTCGGGCCAAACTTATAACACCCGGTAGCTAAAATTACAATATACATTTTATAGCCCAAAAATAATTCTAGCGCCTAGCCATCGAAATTGACAAACTTGAGTTTGCCGGAATGGACAGCTGCCCACCTATATTGACAAACAGAGGATTTAAATATGTCCTTACTCTTTCCCCTGTTTTCTCATCAATTGGAGTAAGGAAAATTTACAAGAAAAAACATGTTTTTCTTCAACAAATTTTGTATAATTCCCCAAGAATTTCAAATATCCCACAAAATAAGAACGATCAACAAGATGATCAGAGCAGGAGGGAGTGGAAGACGTAGTTTTATTTGAAGATTATAAAGATGTTTGCTTGATTGGTTAAAGGTAAAATCTTTCATAAAAATATCTTGGAATTTTATGAATTATATGGGGAAATCTTGAGGCTTACTCTGCTTTTCAATGAAACAAGTAGCTGGGTAGTTTATAGTTTTTATTTGTTTCTTTAACCGTGAAAATAAATAATACTCCCACTGAAAATATTGGAGGTATGAATTAAGGAGAATTACATCAATCAACAATGTTGCCAATTGGCAAATTTTGTGAGGGCTCATACAATTATTTCCAATATTTTCTTGACAAACGATAATCTTTTTCGGCTTACACGGTTTCATCAAATTAGAAAGAAAAGGAAACTTATGAAAAGAAGAATACAATTCTGGTTATAACTTTTAAATTCAGATATGCAGCTGGTCATTTGATTTTCCAATTATGTCTTGGTAAGTGGTAGGGTACAAGGCAGGTAGATGGTGAAAGGTATATATAAAATAGATTGTCACTATATAAAAAATATATAAAATAGAATGTCACTCTACAATTTATATAAAATAGACTGTCACTATATAAAATATATACAATAGACTGTTACTATACAAAATATATACAAGATAGACTGTCATTATACAAAAAATATACTAGATAGACTGCCACTATACAAAATAGATTGTCACTATGCAAAAAATATACCAGATAGACCGTCACTATACAATTTATATACAATAGACTGTCACTATACAAAAGATATACAAAATAGACTGTCACTATAAAAAAATATACTAAATAAACTGTCACTATACAATTTATATACTGTAGATTGTCACTATACAAAATATATACAAAATAGACTATCACTATACAAAAAATATACTCAATAGACTGTCACTATATTATACAAAATAGACTGTCCCTATACAAAAAATATACAAAATAGACTGTCACTATACAAATATATACAAAGTAGACATTTCAGGCTATTAAATGTAATATGTTTGGGCCAGAGGGACATTTCGTATCAATGGAAAAAAAACATGGGCTATTAAAATTTTGAGAGGCTATAGAGGGTCATTTTTTCGGGGGAATTGCAGTCGTACCCTATATTTGTTCCACCTTTTAACATGTACCCTATTTTTAAAAATTATTGATTTGGTAGCCAGTTGACAAAAAATTAATAATATGACACTTACACCCCTGATAAATCACATGATCTGCAACCTCATTCATGAAAAAGATCTCCCCCTCTCCTCTCAGCAGCTTTATCGAAAAACCATAAACTTCATGCTAATGTAGCATGAAGTTGTTTCATGTTGAATCTAAAACTTCATGCTAATATAGCATGAAGTTGTTTTACATTGAAGCTAAAACTTCATGCTAATATAGCATGAAGTTGTTTTACATTGAAGCTAAAACTTAATGCTAATGCATGCTTAAGTTATTTATCCTGCAGTCTACAATTTTGTCATGAGTGCTGAAGTTATTTAGTTCATTTGCTAAAACTTCAGTTTAAACATGCTGAAGTTATTTAGTTCATTTGCGAAAACTTCAGACTAAACATGCTTAAGTTTTTGTCTTGCAGTATGTAATTTTCTAATGAGTTTTTGCTAATGCATGCTGAAGTTATTTAGTTTATTTGCTAAAACTTCAGAGTAAACATGCTTAAGTTATTTAGTTCATTTGCGACAACTTCAAACTAAACATGCTTATATTTTGTCTTGTAGTATGTAATTTTCTAATGAGTTTTTGCTAATGCATGCTGAAGTTATTTAGTTCATTTGCTAAAGCTTCAGACTAAGCATGCTTAAGTTATTTTGTTCATTTGCTAAAACTTCAGACTAAACATGCTTAAGTTATTTAGTTCATTTGCTAAAACTTCAGACTAAACATGCTTAAGTTATTTAGTTCATTTGCTAAAATTTTACACCAAAACATGCTTAACTTTTGTCCTGCAGTCTACAGTTTTGTCAATAGTCCTGAAGGGTAAAATCATCTTTTTAAAATACTTTTAACAAAAAAAATAAGTACGGATGGGAACAAAAAAATAAAACGGGTATAAATTAAAAGGAGGCGACCAAATAAGGCGCCCCATGCAATTTTTACCATTTTCTCTTACTTGAGTATTATCTGGAATGAATGGACCAATTGACTAAGGAAATTAAGGCTCAAACGAAACGCTTCGAATTTGGTTCTCTTTGATGATGAAGAATTTTGAGGGATTTTCATAAATAATTATCGCGAACAGCTATAGATCCAATAATCGGACTGAAATTTGCATTTCTTTCTAGGGAGAGATGCTGATCATTATTCACGGAGATGAATCGAGTGTAACGGCGGGAAAAAAAAATTGAGTCGAACATTTATTGCCTGATGCTCTCTTTCGTCAGTTTATGTAAATCCATTTCCCTTTTAGTCCATTTCAAAAATAATGAACCATTTCTAAATTTGAAAATAATTCAACTTAAACTTCCTATTATACCCTTAATAAAACGGATAAGGTCCTGATATATCCTTCTACTATTAGAAATTGTTTAAAATTATCCTCCGTTATACTATTGGATCAAAAGAACCCCTATCGTCTTACTTTTCAAACACATATACCCTTGACATAACGGACTGGACACTTGGCACACATCAAAGGCTGTTGGTCTTGGTCTTAAATTAGACCCGACCCGCCCTATTATCTGGTACCCGATCCATTAAATTTGACTTGCCAAATACACATTACTCTTTTCATTAAATGTTGAAAAAATAATTAAATCTGACGCTCCATTGTTGAAAAAGGCAAATTGCTCTCTAGACTAAATGCTGCAACAACTCTCACAACCAATGAATCAAATAAACACAACAATTACCACCAAAATCCAACATTACAATTTCAAGAACAAAGACTCAATTTTTATACTTCTTTTCAAATCATAGATTGAGTTCAAAAGTTAAACCATTAAAATACAAATAAATGAACAGAAACCCCCTAATACTTTCAATAATTTCATAGAAACTAAGGGAAAATTATACAAGCCGAATAGTCTACAACTTCTGGGTGACTTTCTTCTTTTTAGGAGGAAGCACAATCTCTCATTTGAAGGTAGGAATTATTATAATCTGTGACAACCCAGTTGTAGGTATTAAAGTTGCTTCATCTGACTCAAGGCCCTTCAAAACCCGTACAAATGAAATTACTACGACAAAAGAGAAATCTTCAATTTCTTCTTGACTACAGAAAAGGGTTGAAAAAATTTCTTTCTATACATTCTATTGAATGTAGCCCAACTAGAGAATTGGGTAGAGAAGGACGGAAGAATTTGGAAAAAGAAGAATGTTAGTTGAATGTGAATAAAATTGGGTCAAGAAATCAGAGAGACCCATTTTGTCTTCTTCAAATTTCTCAAAAAAATCCTTGTAATGTTGTTTTCTAGTTTCTTCAGCAAATCAATATTCCAGTCTTGTACTCACAATTATAGACTCAAATCAGTAACAATAAATAAATTTCACCAATATTTTTCGACTTCTTTTTTAGATCTAGATTCAAACCCAAAGCTTCAATATGTCATAAATGGTGAGTTTCGACGTTTACCATCAAATTCTTCCAACAAACACCAGTATAATTTAGATCTAAGCACAATGAACAATAAAAAATCAGATTTCAATAATGTAAACCCCAAATCAGTCATTGAACCAAAGGACTCATTCGAACTCAGACTTGGAAATGAGCTTCGAAACCCGTCAATGGAGGTGCATCTTTTCAATCTTCAAATCAAGACACTGAAGAACCATTTCATAACGGTTTAATCTCTATTCCATCAGCTTCAAAATCGATTTCAATACAAAATGCATTAAATTTCTTTCCAATAAATGAGAGACTGAGAAAGAGCAATAACTCAATCTTTTTTGGGTACCGGGTAATAGGGCGGGTCGGGTCTAATTTTAAACCAAATGGACCAACAGCCTTAAATACGTGCCAAGTGTCCAGTCCGTTAAGTTAGGGGTATATGTGTTTGAATAGTAAGACGGCAGGGGTTCTTTTGATCTAATAGTATAACGAGGGATAATTATAAACAATTTCTAATAGTAGAAGGATATATCAGGACCTTTTCCATTAATAAAATATTTTTAGAGCTACACAAATACTATGACATATTTAAATTCAAAAGAATTATACCCACACAAATATTATGGCTTGTTTAGGAACATATGTTTTAAAAGTTTTTATTTTTCTCTTAAACTCCGTGCCAAATCAAATAGATTCACATAAATTAGAATGGATGAAATAGTCAAATGTCATAATTTGTAAGAGAAACTATTTAATATGCTTATTCCGCTCTTTAATCTAGGAAATTAAAGATGTTGGATATTTTCTTTACTAACTTACTTCTAACCATCTTCTTCTTCTTAGTCAAGTGATTTATGTACCAGAAAATGCCAAAATTTCAACCATGAAATCCATCGAAAATCAGTCAGAAATTTCTTATTTTTGACGGATTTTCCAACGGATTTCAAGTGGTCGGAAAAATGATGATCGCAAACACAAACTTTCGACCATTTTGGTCGCAATGGGGAATTGTGCAGTTCATCGGATGAAACTAATGCTTGTAACTACTTTGGTAGGTATATTTGCAACCGATTCAGTCGCACTATTATTAATATAAATTAATTACATATTAAATTTTCCGACCGATTTGGTCGGTAATTTAATTATGATTTATTATTTTATTTAAATTTCGACCGGATCGGTCGAAAATTAAGAAACTAAAAAATAATTAATTTAAATTCCGACCACTTCAGCCTCAAATTTGAGATTTTCCATATCCAATTTCCGACCACTTTGTCGGAAACTAGTCACAAAAGTTGGTAAAATACATTAAAATTCTGTAGTATTTTAAGCCACACCTACTGCCAAATCAAACAACCAATACACAACTGTCAATATCACAAATATTCTATCAATAGAACCTAAAACAACAAGTATCAAACTTGTTTAAACATAACAAAACCATCTATTCTGTTAAAACACATAAAAATCTAAAGCTTTCAACCAAAATCACATTACACCAAGTCTAAACTGAACGAAGTTTTGCAACAACCAATCAAGTCTAAATATCCTATTACACAATCCAATAAATATGAACAATGTTCGCATCATATTTATTGTTTCTTGAGCATTGTTCCATTGTTGAGATAATTCATTGATTTGCGTCTGTATAGTCTCAATTTCTTCAAGTGAAGCAGAAGCATCATTAAATAATGCGGCTGGACGACTAGACGACGGCTGCACTCCAAGATCGTAAACTCTACCTTTATTTATTTTCATGAGAAATAAAAAAAGAATATATATAAATGAGTAAGAGAAGAAACATACAACTTGTGCAAAATAATATTAAAACGAAGTCATATCTAAGAAATTACTAAAATATTTTATACCTTTATTTACTCCACCGGCTGCCTGTGTCATATTGAAGTCATATCTTCTGGCGTCAGTAGAGAATCGGGCTGCGTTTGTTTTCACTCCTCCATTCTTCTTTGATACCCTTCTTGAAATGTTGTTGACAAATATTATATAAACGAATTAATCTTAACGAAGAATAAATGTAGTGTTGAATTTAGAATCTTACATATGTCTCCGATGCGTGCGGTTCGACTCATCCTTTTCTTGTACCATCCTCCTTCTTCTTTTTTTTCTTCTTATGTGTCTCCTCAAAGATAGTAGCACGAGACACATTTCTCCCATGTGCCTTTTCTTTTCAGAATCAAAATATGAGTTTATTACTTGAATCTCATATTAGTGAAGCTAAGTCAAATTTAATAAATAAATTACCAATCACAATCTATGGGCCACAAAACTGATTGAACCTCGGGTGTGCAACGAGCCACCCTTACTGGAGGCTCTATTTGCCTTCGCTTTTTCACTCTTCTACTTCCATTCTTCGATATTTCACTTCTCCAATAGTTGAAGCAATACATCTTCACGCAACCATAAAGGCCTGCTCCCACCTTTTCGAGCAACAATATGGGCATCTTTAATCCTTTTCTGAGCTATCTTCTCAAAATTGCATTCAGCTGAATTTTATGTTAAGGCTGCCATACACACTTAGTCTTTAATTAAAACAAAAGTTAGACGAACATAATAAATATATATAAATTATATTTTATTCGTACCTTAAATTGAAGCCACATATTCACTCTGATTTGGTATGGAATCTCTTTCCAGAAATTTCATGGCTCATGGAAAATGGCTTCATAGCTTCCCCAACCATATGTGTGGCCTGAAAGAATGGAAAAAACCTACATTATATGTAAAATAAACATTCGTTAAATATATGCAGATCTTTATTCAAATAATTAATAATTAAAGAATTACTTACCCGTCTCCATTGAGTACGATAATCAATTGATGTATATGATCGTACTCTACAGTTCCACCAGCATACTGTCTCCGTGACAAAGCAACTAAAGCAGTACTAGTAGATGGGTATACAGCTGAGTGAGATCCTCCAATATTCAGTCCAGAAATACTAGGAGTAGATGATGATGGAAATGATAATGGAGTGGACAATGATGGAGGCACAAAAGATGAACCATCATGTTGACTGTATGTAATGACTCGGTCGGTCGTTTTGAGTATTTTAGCCTAGATCCCCTAAATTATGCTTCCTCTATGTTATATTGTGGTTATGTAACTTGTTGGGGTGGTTGGTTTTGGTTTCAGGTGAGTTTCGGAGTGAAATGGGATACATAGTCCCTAAGTTGGAAGGTTGAGTCGTAGAAGTTTACCAGAGTTTGACTTGTGTGAAGACGACTTCGGAATGGAATTTTTGATAGTTCTGATAGCTTCGTATGGCAATTTTGGTCTTAGAAGGGTGTCCGGATGTTGATTTGGAGGTCCATGGGTTGTTTCGGCGTGTTTTGGCGAAAGTTGGAATATTTTGAAAAGTTTGACCGAGAGTTGACTTTATTGATATCGGGGTCGTATACCGATTCTGGAAGTTGGAATATGTCCGTAAGTTCAATTATGACTTGTATGCAAAATTTGAGGTCAATCGGAGTTGGTTTGGTATGAATTGGCAATGGTTTCAGAATTCGGAAGTTCATAATTTCTTATGCTTGAATTTGGGTTGCGATCCGTAGAATTTATGTTGTTTGATGTGATTTTCGGCCTCGAGTAGGCCTGATAGGTGTTTTGGAACTAGTTGGTATATTCGGACAGGGACCCGAGTGTGATTCGGATCGAATCCGGAACAATTTGGACTTGTTGAATTTTTGCTGAAGAATTGCAGTTTCTGGTGTCTTCGCACCCGCGGAGGGATTGGCCGTAGGTGCGGGCTCACAAAATAGAGCACT